ATCTGATGCGTCTAAAATTCAGGACTCCACAGAAGTGGAGGACTTTTTTCCTCTACCAATTTTTTTTCCTCTATCAATTTCACTGGAAGCAGACTGTTGTGCTAGGAAACACCACCCATATGATTAAGAATCTTTCCAAAGCAGCTTCTCTCTTTCCCTGAAAATCCCTTAAGTTCTCCAAAAAAATTCTTTATTGTCCCCGTATCACTTCCACCTTCAGAATGTATCCAGAAAAAAAAGCCATTTGTCAACTACTTCCAGTTCTTTCAGTTCAGGACTCTATTATGCTGCACAATTGTTTGTGTGCATCTGCTTAATGTGGAGGGAAAAGATGTTGCTAAATTGGCAGCAGAACAGTGGGCTGGGCAGGAGAGTTGCCTTCTCCATTGTGGGCACAGGGCGGCTCTGCTGACTGCAAGGGCTCAGACAGCAGGAAAAACCCCAAATGCCATCCCTGCTCTTGCTATTGGCAGCTGTTCTCTTATCACCAAAGAGAATTTATCGCACCACTGACAGATGCTGAGATTCAGAAGCTGGAACTGAAAGCCAAAGGGATCGATTCAAAAAACAAAAACACCCCTTGAAAAAAAAATAATAATAAAAAAAACATATATAGGAAGAGCCCTCCCAAACCAAGTCATTTCAGTGCACACATCACATGGCATCTCTCCATGGGGAGAGGAAAGAGAGAGCTGAGCCCCCATGCAGATGTCTGCAGGTCTGTCTGCAGCACTCATGGAAGCTGCTCAGTGCTAAACCAAAGAGCTGCAGCAAACCATGGAGAACTTGGCCACAAAATTCTTAGTGGGGACAGTGGGAGCAGAGAAGACTTTCAGGGAAGAGGACCTTGAAATCAAGCTTTCTTGGTATTAAAGTCATTCTCAAACACAAGATACTTGCATTCCCAGTGTTGTCTCATGAAGGGAATTGGTGGAGCAGGGCTGTCTGGGATTTCTATTCTTGCACACACACACACACACACTTTCTCTGTGAAAGCCTCTTTGACTCCTATGAGGCTACAAGTCTTAGTTCCTTATATGTGACTCCACAGTCAGGAATCCCCTGCACAGCTGCTGTGGCTGCTCCCAAGAACTGGAGACAGGATTCCTGTGCTGTACATGACAAGGGGCTCTAATACCTCCCCTCCCAATGTCACACATGGCCCAGTGCACATGGACACTCCGTGTACATGAACAGCTACATGGTCTCTGTGGCCCTAGAGCAGAGCCTGTACTTCATCCACAAGTTTTGCCAAATTGCTGCACACAGCATGCCAGTATATCCCTCCTGCTTCATGTTCCCAGGGAAAACACAACTGTGTTTATCACAGGCAAAGAAACCCTGAGCTATCCACCAACACTGCTGTAGGCACAATGCGAAGGAAGACATGCAGTGCCTTCTGTCAACACTCCCAGGTGCGTTTTCCTAACTAAGGCAGCCTGATATAAGGTTTAATTCCTGGGCACTAATCTGTCTTTTCTGGAAAACTCAGAGTAAGATGAATTCTCCCAGAGCAGTGGTTTCCAGCAGTGGGGAAAGGAGTCCCAGAGCACTTCCCATTTCCTTACTTGTGACGTGGAAAGTCCCCGAACAAAACTCGGGAGGAGGCATTTTGCCCGGCACTTCAGAAGAGGGCCAAACTGGGAGGTGCGGCAACTTTAGGAACATTAGCACCACCCCGATGGGGAGAGGCCCGGCCCCGCCGGGGAGAGCCCCGAACTCTATGGAATGAGGGTGAGGATGTCGAGCAGCCGGCGGGAGGCAGGCCCAGGTGCAGCGGCAGGACGGGCGGTACGTGGAGCAAGGCTGACACCTGCAGGGAGAACTGGGCAGGAGCGGGGCGGAAAAAACAGTTTCAATGTTTCAAAAATCAGCATCGAAAATATTTCCACTCTTTCAGTTTTAAAATTGAAACACTTAGGGATTTGCTCACATTCTGCCATCAACATTTGAGATATTTGGTTGGGATCATTGTTCTTCAGCCGGTTGCTCCCTGGAAAACCAGAGCATAAGTGGAGCAGGGCACAAACAGATCCTGGGATCCCACACAGTCTGACCAGGTTTCCTTACCGGCTCTGCTCTAGGTTTCCAGCAGCAGAGCCCCACACCGCTTGTTCCCTAAATAATTTAAATGTGGTCAGGCACACAGTAGCAGCTTGGGCTGGTGCCTCGGGAAGCTCCGGGGACAAAGGATTCCCTGGCGTTTGTCAGCTCCCCGGCTGAGCGCCCCGAGTCTGGGAGCTCCCTGCTGAGCCATCGGCTCTTGCTGCCTGGGAGTGCCTGGTCACCCGTGCGGAGCCCCGAGCCCTTGGCCAGGCCCGGGGCCAGGTCACGGCTCCTTGCTGGGGGCGCTGTCCGTTCCTCCGCCCTGGGCACAACCTGCAGCTGCCCCCTGAGCTCCCTGCTCTCAATGTGCTCCTCAGTTCGGCTCCTGGGTGATCTCCTCAGCCACCTCTCTGGAAGCCTTCCCTACCTCTGTCTACACAGTTGACTCCAGTCCCAACAAAAAAGTATGGAGACTCTTAAGCGCTTTCATCTTTCCTCCCAATTAATCTTATCTGCCAGTAAAATTCGAGATGCAGTGTAGGAATTAGGGCAAGCTACTTACTTACCCGAGAAGGTCAATTTAGGTCAAAGCTACTGCACACAGATGGCTAATTTCAATCCCTTACATATACCACACAATTGTTCAATAAACTCGAAATAAATAGTGTAAGTAATTAATTTGAAGCTGCCCTAATTGTTTCTCAATTTCCCCTATTAGTTTAACCTATAACACTCCTCCTATCAAAGCTTCAAAGCTCTAACTTAACAGCCAATTAAAGCTTCTTTAGGAAAAAAAAAAGTGCTGCCAGCGCCGATTTCTTCTGTCTGAGCCCCTTGAAGCACTTGGGAATTCATTTAAATTGCACTGGGCTTAGAACCAAATTGCTTTTTCCAGGTATACTGTTCCCAGTAAGCTAATGAGACAATGGACAATTAAGATTAATTAAGGTTTTTAACTCGGTATCAACTTCTGACCGCCCTTTGGCTCGGTGAAAGTGGTCTGGTGCTGGAGCAAACAAGAAGTCCCTGGGTGTGTCAGCGGGAGCTGGCAGGAGCACACGCAGTTTTCCCCAGCTCACTGAGATTCGGGGCTCAGCTACGGCTGAGGGTCCCCCCAGAGAACGCCTTCTCTCTGTGCTTCTCTCCTGAATTAGCCTTACCTACCTCATTATAGAAAGCTTGGGTGAATGGGAAATCCTGAACCAGAGCAGCAGTACGGAACAGGAAATAGAAACTAAGTAAAACAGGAATGAACCATTCCGAGTCAGGCTCCAAATACATCCCGGGAAATTGAAACACAAGCAAGTATCTTAAAGCTAAGCCTGCTCAATTATTATTGTGGACAGGATTCCTCTGAGAAACTCTTGGGGTTACATGAGGGGAAAAGGTACCTAGCACACAGAGCAGCTGAGCAGGAGGGAGGAGGAAGGTCTGCAGGGGCAGGAGCAACAGCGCTCCAAGGACACTAACAGGGAGAAATCTGAGTGATTGGTCAGTACAAATATTCAAAAGCTGCTGCCGACCAAATCCAACTTAATTTGGGGAACCAAACGGCGTAACACAAATCTGGGAGTGACACAGCATAGCTGGTTCTGCTGAACACCTGGCCCTGACTGTCAGGGTGGATTTTAACCTCCCTTCATCCCCATCTTTTACTTCACGAGACACATCTCTGCCATGGGACAGCCCCGCACACTCTTCACACCATTTGGTTTAATGAGACCAAGGACCTTTGCCGGAGTCTTCCCAGCACAGGACTGGCTGGGAGGGCCAAGTGAACCAGCATTCCCCTGTGGCACACTTGCCTGCACCTTTGAAACCAAAACTCTTACTGTTATACCTGGGGAATCAGTGCTTTACCCCCACTACTTTTTTTTCTTTCTTTTTTTTCTGTCTTTTTTCTTTTCTCTCCCCCCCCCCTTTTTTTTTTAATTAGCAAAAAAACCTATTAAAAGCAACTGGTAAACACCATACAACTTTTATTACTGAGGCCATGCAAACTTTTGGAAGTCTTTCTTACCACTAAGACTTTTTTGTTACTTCCCAGAGTACACAGGGAAGCCCCCAAAATGCTAGTAACCATGATCTCAATTAACCAGGTGTTGCTCTTGCACAGTGCAATTGCAATTCCCACGGAGAATGACAGCCCTCAGGGTTGTTTGACCTGACAGGTGTGTTCTTGGCCTCCTTCACTGAGATTTGCAGCCTCAGGAATGCCTGACTGGCCCAAAGGCACATCTCTATTGTTTCAGACGGCTGAAGGGTCCAGGGGCGCCACAGGGCGTCTCCATGTGTTCAGAGGTTCTGAGGAGTCCTGGAGGGTTCCGGAAGGGTCTGAGGCACCTCAGGGCTTTGAGGAGTCCAAGGTACCTCAAGGGATCCTGGAAGTCTGAGAGGTCCCAGAGGGACTGAGGCAACCCAGTGTGTCTCAGAGGGGGTTGTGAGGGTCTGAGAGCTCAGAGAGGCCCCAGGAATCTGAGATGCCCTGGGGGCTCCTGGCAGTTCTGAGGGGTCTGAGGCACCCCAGGGCTCTGAGGCGTCCAAGGCACCTCAGGGGGTCTCTGAGGTCTGAGGGCTCTGAGGGGCCCTGGGGGGGGGTGGGGGGGGGGGAAGGTTCTGAAGGTCTGAGAGATTCTGAGGACACCAGGAAGTCTGAGGAGTCTGAGGCAGCTCAGGGTCTAAGGGGTTTGAGGGGCCCTGGGAGGTTCCAGCAGGTCTGAGGGCTCTGAGGGGTCCCGGGAGTCGGACGGCTCGGAGGGGTGCTGTGAGGTGCCCCGGGGCGCTCCGGCGGTCCGAGGACGCTGAGGTGTCCCGGAGATCGGAGGAGTCCGGGGCGCCCTGAAGGACTCTGAGGCAGCTCTCGGGCGCCCCCTAGCGGTCACTGCCGGCGCAGGACGGGGCGGAGCCGCGTCGTGACGCCATCGGCGCGCGCCGCGCGGTGACGTCATCACGGTCGTTCCCGGCGCCGCTCCCGATCCCGATCCCGATCCCGGCCCCGGCCCGTGAGGGCGGCTTGGGGCGGTCAGATGCGGCGGCGGACAGGATGCACCAGAAGCTGCTTCGCAGCGCGCACTACATCGAGCTGGGCAGCTACCAGTACTGGCCGGTGCTGGTGCCCCGCGGCATCCGGCTCTACACGTACGAGCAGATCCCGGTGTTCCTGAAGGACAACCCCTACATCACCGATGGATACCGTGCATACCTGCCCTCCCGCCTGTGCATCAAGAGGTGAGCGCGCCCCGCGGCCCCGGGCGCCCCCCGGCCCCGCCGCCGCTCACCCCCGCCCCGCCTTGTGCCTCCTCTCACTCAGCCTCTTCATCCTCTCCAACGAGACCGTCAACATCTGGAGCCACCTGCTCGGCTTCCTTCTCTTCTTCACGCTCGGCATCTACGACCTGACCGCGGTGCTGCCGGCCGCCGGCGCCTCCCGCGAGGACTTCGTCATCTGCTCCGTCTGCCTCTTCTGCTTCCAGGTGGGCGCCGGCTGCCGGCGGCGCTGAGCCCTCCCGCGGTGCGGGCACAGCGCGGGCCCGGCAGCATCGCTCCGCGGGGCAAAAACCGAACGCAGCTGGCGCAAGAGAGAGTCTGTGATAAACGAGTGCGTTTGTCCGGGCCGTGTGTCAGAGCTGCTGCAGCTTGAGGGGGCCTGACGCGGCTCCAGGTGCTGCTGGACACGGCCGAGCACCCTGGGATTCCAGGGATCAGCCGCGGCCCGATGGTCGGGAAGGGCAGGAGGGCTGGTGGCCTCACTTTCTCCTTGTCAGAGGAATGTGTTTGCACAGCAGACTTGAGTCCTGTCTCCGGTGGGCCCCTGCACCTTGTGAGAGCACAGAGAGCTAAAGGCACCACTGGTGTTCTCTGCAGGGTACAGGATGCCTTTGTACAGCCACAACTGGCTCTAGTGCTCCTCCCTGCCCCTACAGAAGGCCACAGAGAACCAAACACTTCTCAAGGAAAAGATTTTAAGGCAGCCTAGGAGCAGACATGCAGCCTGTGCCTAAGAGTTAAATTTCTATGTGTTCCCTCAGTCAAGGCACACAGTGAGTGCTGGGCAGTCAGGGCAGATCTGGGCTTTGGGCTCTCCCCTGTACTGGTGCGGATGTGTCTCCCTGGAGCACTGCCAGCTCTCTGGCCTCAGGAGCCCACTTTTGCTACTTGTACAACTGGTTATCATGGTTTGCAGTGTCCTGCTCCTCCTTCCCCGTGCCAGAGAAGCTTTATGGTTGGCTGGCAGGGATCACAAGTGCCTGCACTGGGGTGCACTGCACAGCACAGCTGCAGGGCTGGGGCTGGTTGTGCTCCCTGCTCCTTTGTAAGGAACTAACCCTCCTCCTCTGGCACTCTGCGTAGGTGTGTATGCTTTGCTCAGTAGGATACCACCTGTTCTGCTGCCACCGCTCCGAGAAGACCAGCCGGCGCTGGATGGCGCTGGATTACGCGGGCATTTCCATCGGGATCCTGGGCTGCTACGTGTCAGGCGTGTTCTACGCCTTCTACTGCAGTAACGTGAGTGGGGAGCAATGTCCTTGCAGGGCTTGGTTCCTGTGCTCTCACTGCAGTTTCTGTGCTGCAGGAAGGGGGTTCTGTGCAGGTGTCCAAGGAGAACAGGAGGAGGGAGGCAGGGATGGGAACTGGAACATGTCCCTCTGACCTGAGCTGAACTGTGCTGGCTGAAGAGACAGGAAAATGCAGGTTTTCCTTTCCAGCTGTTGATTGCACAAGCCTCAGGAAAATATTTAAATTTCTCTCAAGGCAGGGAAACTTTACAGGTCCTACCTGTATCCAGTGACTGAGGCTGGTCATGGGATGTGTCCCATCACAGGTACTTTATTCAAACAGTATTGCCCGCGAGGTAGAAACAACCTTGTTTTCCCTCCTTTTAATGGAGGATGAGTAAATGAGTTCCCTCTCAAGGCCTGCCCTGGACATTGCTGTCCAGGAGCTGAGCTGGACAGGTGAGGCACAGGTGTATTGAAACATTTGGTGCAGGAAGTGCTTGGAATGAAGGATGTGGTGCCAGGTGCCCCCCAGGAGCAGTCCCCTCCCCTCAGTGCCAGCTGACAAGCAGAGGGCCTGCACTCAGACCCACAGCTGGTGCCCACAGCAGGGACAGGGTGAAGCACTGCTGTGCTCAGTCACTGAAACCTCCTCCCCAGAGCTGACTTCTGCATGCCACAAACTTGCTTTTGTTTCTTTGTGCCCTCAGTACTGGCGCCAGGTGTATTTGATCACTGTGCTGGCCATGATCCTGGCAGTGTTTTTTGCTCAGATCCACCCCAGTTACCTCACACAGCAGTGGCACAGGCTGCGCTCCATCATCTTCTGCTCCGTGTCTGGCTACGGAATCATTCCCACCATCCACTGGGTTTGGCTCAATGGAGGCATTGGGGCATCCATTGTACAGGTAAACAAAAAAAAAAACCAAAAAACCAAAAACAAACAAACAAACAAACAAACAAACAAACAAACAAACAAAAAAAAAGAAATAAGAAATAAGATTCCCTTTTGCTTTTCATTTTCCATCTTCCTTGAGTTCTCTTACACTTGGGAAACAGTGGGGAAGCAGGAGGAGTTACAATTCCTCTAAGGACAGAATTCTTTTGGTCAATACAATCCAAATGGGAACACTGAGAACTGTGTTGAGATGGGACAGACGGCTTGGGAAGTTTTATTGTGCTGTGCTGCCCTAAAGCTGCAGGGTGGGAAGGAGAGCAGGATCCAGCTGTGTCTGTGCCTGGGCAGGGAGCAGCCTGTGTGGGCAGACCACACCCTCGCCAGGGCCGGGGGCAGGAGCTGAGGTGCCTGTGGAGCAGGAAGGAGCCTGTCAGGCTGCAGGAATGCTCAGGGCTGGCCACCTCCACAGCTCCAGAGGGCAACCAGGAGACACTGGGATGATTACTTGTCTCCTCCTCTGTTCCCTACGATGGCAGCAGAAATCAGCATTTACCTGCTCAGCCCTCTGTCTCCTACACAATCCTCCTCTAACAGCTCTTTCATGTTACTATTTTCCTGTTTGTTTCACTCCTTGGAATACATTGTGACAGCAGCAGCCCAGCACAGCCAAAGGCAGTCTGGTGTGCCCCAGTGTGAACCAACCTGAAATCAGTGCAGTTAGCCAGTAACACCTGATGGTGCTGAAAGAAACATTTCCTTTTCATAGTGAGCACAAACTGCACACACCTGGGCTGGCCTGGATAGATGGCTGTCCATGGGGTGAGGGTTCAGCCAGGTCCAGAGCTGCTGTGGAATGTGGCAGAGCACCACTTGGAAATAGATGTGGCCTTTATACATGACACTTCACACTGGCCCTCTAAAAATCATCAGTAGCAGTTGTGCCCCCACACTTCCCCATCTGGCTTCCCCTGGGATAGCAGGATGGAGTCTAGGGTACACATTTTGTTTCCATACTTCAGGAAAAGGGCCCACTTTTGGTAACAAAACATTCTGCTAACAAGATGCACCTGGTGGCTGAGTTGCTGGTTGTTGACCCCCCCACTGTGAGCAGTCCTGTGTGCAGCTGCTGTGGTCCCTGCCTAAGTGGGATGTGCACTGCAGGTCCCTGCCTAAGTGGGATGTGCACTCACCCTAGCTGCTCTGTGCAGGCTCAGGGGAGTGACAGGTGACCTTGCACAGACACATGCTGTGCCTGCTGAACAGAGAATCTTGCATGTAGAAGCAAGAAGCTGGAATAAAAGAGGTTTCTTTCCACTCAGGCTTTCCCAGAGTTTGGCATGTGCGTCCCCATTGGATCTGTGCATAGCTAACACAGGCAGGGAAGGAAGATTCAGTGCTGTCATGCCTTTTCCTTTTTTATCTTTAGAGACATTTTTTTCTGTTTTTGCCTTCTAACAGAATAGGAGAGCTTGCTTTTCTTTTGCAGGAGTTTGCTCCGCGGGTATTTGTCATGTATTTCATCGCTGCTGTCGCTTTTCTCTTCTATATTTCCAAAGTTCCAGAAAGATACTTCCCAGGTAGGAAATTCTCTTCTGGCTGTTTTCTTTTCTTCAGTTAAGCTTCCTACGGTGTCCTAGTCCTTGCTGTGGGTCCTGAACTTCCTGGGAGAGAACAAGCTGACCATGTTCCCTATGCCGTGTTCCCATACAGAGTAAAAGAGTGGGAGGAGGCAGACAACTTCCCTCAAGTTCGTTAAAGAACTTTCCCTGTCACCCCTCAAGGGTAGGGTGTGGCAGAGCTCTGCAAGAGACTGATTGCTGATTGCACTGCACAATGTGGAATTGTGGTGGAACTTAACAGCTGAACTCCTGAATGTCCCTGTTCTCCCCCACAGGCCAGCTGAACTACCTTGGCTCAAGCCACCAAGTATGGCACATCCTAGCAGTGGTGATGCTGTACTGGTGGCACCAGTCCACAGTATACATCATGCAGTACCGACACAGCAAGCCCTGCCCCGAGTACAGCGCGGACCTGTGAGCCAAGGTATGGCTGCTGCCATCGTCGGAGGAACAGGATACCCCAACCACAGGCTTTGGGAATGCTGGCCTGAACCTCAGGTCACTGTCCCAGAGTGGGTCCTGACTGGTGCCAATAAAAAGCAGGGATGTGATGCCAGGCACTCTGCTCACCTGTGCTGCTGCATTGGATGAGGCTCTGGGGAGCTGCTGGGCCCTTGAGCAGTTTTAGAGCAGGCTGGACGTAGTCCTGCCAGATCCCTTCCAGCTCTGTGTCACAATCTGAGTAGTCTCAAACCATCATCAGTACTTGTCCTTAAGTAGCATTTTCCTCAGGCTTTTGTCAGGTTTTCAGTCTGCTTAGCATTGATCTGGATGTTGTGGAAATCAGATGAGTTGCCAATTACATGTGCACAGTGATTTACCTCGTTTTCCTGCTCTATTTCAGAGGCAGCACGAGAGGATTGGTGACTCTGGGGGCCTCACGTGAAGAGCTGTGCTGTCAAGGACTGAGGCAGTTCCTTTGCTGACTCCTGGGCTGTTAGCCCCTTGCCGGGACAGAGTGTTACTGCAAGCTTTGATAAACACAGCAGCTCTGCCTGGGTTGGAGGGGCGTTTCCTTCTCAGCCAGTTCCTGCCCTGCAGTCAAGCACCAAACAGCTCCTCCTGGAGCAGGACAGTGGGAGGCTGAGCTCACTCGGCATGCAGATCCCAGCAGGATGTTTTGTTGCTTGGCAGACATGAATGGCTCAGCCAAGGGTACTCGGGCCTGGACACCAGGTTTTCAGCTGGTGTGCACAGTTAGGAGAACACTCCTGGCAGCGTGCCTGTAAAATTGTTGGAACTGTGGGAGCTGGTCCTGGACCCAAACCACAGGCCTGTGGGTGGTGCATCCTTCAGCCTTTACAGGGAAGATGTGTTATGCTTCAGGATTGGCACAGGAACGCATGAACTGGAATTCAGTGGATTTCTGTCCTGCTCTGGATGACCTCTTTCCCATTCCCTGGGAGATAACATGATATCCTGCACACCTAGATCTTCATTGCAGATCTTAAAAATAGCCCGCCCCAAGGAGGGGCAGGGTTGTGCCATTGCTTGAAGAAATTTCTCTAGATCCCTTCAGTAATCTGGAATCAGTATTCCAGGAGTAGCACTAAGGCTGCGTGTCCATGTTTGTTGTTGTTTTGCAATCAGGGAACCTGCTGGGGCTGCAGATTCCTGACTGTTGGCCTTTCCCTATGTGCAGGATGATACTGCACTCACACACACTGCTGTCCAAAATGACTTGCTTTCACAATCCTGCCCCCGTGCCAAGGCTGCTTGGAGTTTCAGGATGTGTTGTAGAACCTTCCCTTATGAAATGAACACCAGGGAGCCACAGAATACACTGGTTATCGCACAGCTGCTGCCCAGCACTATTAAGCTCCAGGGGTGCCAGTCTTCCAAACAGCATTAAAATCCTTTGGACTTCTGGGTTAGAGGCAAGGATGCTGTTGGGACGAATCCTAAGTGGCTACATCCTTGTGGAGAGGGCTTCCCCCAATGCACGAGGAGACGCTGGCTCTGTGCAGTGACTACCCCAGGGCAGGCACGTTCTGTTGGTTGCCCAAAGCTGCCTCCCTCTGGGCTAAGGCAGAGGAGCAGGACTTGGTTTCTGGTCAGGGCGTGTCAAGGAGACATGGAGTGGAGGTGGAAACTTACAGACAGGCACCTGCACTCCTCGGGCACAGAGAAGGCAGGATGGGAACTCCTCCTGATGTGCTGGACAGGGATGCTGTCTGTTTAGGTCAGAGGGTGGTTTTGGTGCTTTTCTGTTGGTCTTTTTTAACTCCAGAAACAAGTATTGGCAAAACTGACTCTGCATTAATGATTCAGCTCCCAGAGCTTTCAGCCTTTCAATGTAAACACTGATTTTTTAAATGATTTTTTAACTTGACAGCCAAGCAAGTTTCAAGTGCACTAATTACTACTACTGAAGCCTGACAAGGAACTTGCAAGTGTAAAAGTCTGTTTCCAGTGTTATGTGTACAGTAATATCCCAATAATGTGTCTGTAATATTACTGAGCATTTGCTAATGTATTTTTATAATGGAAACTCTTAACTTCTCCAGCAGTTTTCACCAGATAAGGAAACTGATTGCCAAGCTGTGCATTTTTACCTGACACGATTTATCAAGCTGCATGATGATCTTTGATGTACATACTGAACTTATAAATAAATTCCAGTTCATTGGCTTTTTCTTTGGACTAACATTATTCCTGCACCTCATGCAGCAAAACAACTGATGTCAATGGCTTAGCCATTGAACTTGTGCCACAGACAGGGATTTTTGGGGGAGACTCTCTAGCTGAATTTGCTGATGAACTTAGCTTTTCAGCCTACTACCAAGTACTCTTTATTAACGGAAGCCCGCTGCTGCTGTATCTGTTCTTGACCATTTCCATTCTTACTTCATCTCACCCAAGAGTAAAATCAATACAGGGAGCATCCAAACACCCTGCTCCAGTAAACAACTGCAGGAAGGGGCTCACACCACATTATAGTTCTGTCCACAAGTACAGATCTCAGTCCAATGCCATTGGGACCCACATGACCTTTCTGCAGGAAGACTTTAAGGAGTAACACTGAAGTAAAGGATTTTCAACCAGTTGGACACAGCAGGATGATTGGGCAGCAAATACAACTACTTAAAACAGTTTTATGAGAGTCACAGGTACTCACATGACAGCTAAAAAATCATTCAGCAGCAGCAACAGTGCTTATAATGAGCAAATGAAAGCCTACACACAAATACTTCACCATGCAGTGTTGAAGAGACCTGAAAAGGCACTGTTACCAGGTTCCTTTATTTAACATCTCCAAGGGTTTTATGATATACATCAGCTTCACAAAAAAAGTTAAAAGTTCTGGCTTTAGTAGTACACAAAAAAGCTTTAGAAACTCCAAGTCTAACAAGAAATGGAAGTGTAGTTCAGGCAAGTGCACTTAAAAGCTGAATGCCAGCAATTTTAAAATAGTTTTTATGCTCTTTAATAGTAGGTGATGCTTCAGTCACAACTTTACCATACACACCATCTCCTTGATTTCCTTTCAAAATAAGCTCTATGGAACAGTAGCACAGCAGCCACCCTTGGTACTTAACTCATATTCACTCAAATCACAAACATGATTGTGGCTGCTGGGTTACCAACACCACAGCAACTCCAAGGGGTACATGATGTGTGCGAGCATGTGTATATTTTATATATACTTCTTGGATATATAAAAATACACCATATAGTATAAAAAACTCCAGATAAACTCTTTTTCTCACAGTAGCAAATATATCAACTTATTTTCACAGTACTTGGTTTTACTAATTGGGACACCCAGAATGATTATAAGCTTTTTCCTCCAACACTGGTGCTCACAGAGCCCCCCACCACAGCATTAATTACACACCTAAAGGCCATTTGAGTCCACAGGCAAACACAACTACCTGGTTTTTCCTTCCATCACCACAACCACTTAAAAGAGGTTGTGCTTCTTAGCACTTTGGGGCAGATGCTCTCTCCAGCAGCTGATCCTACAAGGCCTGTGCTTCAGTCCCTCAGCATGCAGAGGGAGAAGCTGTAAAAACCCATTGGGATTTCTGTCTGGGAAGGGAAGTGTCAACCCCTTACACCTTGCCCTCCTGCCCCCCACAGGCAGCATGTACATGACTACCACAAAAAGGTCTTTCCTGATTTCTACTAAGGTCACGTTGCACTCCATACATCCTGAAAAAAGGCAAAGGATACCCCATTCCCTGACAGTCACATATCTCACCTCCTTTAAATAGTGGACAGTGGCTGAATACAACCCCAAGCTTGGGTTCAGTTGTGTATAAACTACATACACCAGGAAAAGTCAGCTTAGCAGGGTGCACCAATCTCACATCGACCATGAGAAAGAATAAAATAACTCTAAAGAAAAAAAAAGTGAAATTTAATCAAAAACCTGATTGGTGTCTCAAGTGTGAAGAACCAGGTTTGTTAAGGCCATTAGGAGGCAAATATCATGGGCCATAACTCGTGCCAGCTCTAGTGTCAGTGGGGTCTGCAGCTTGCCTGTGCCTTGTCTCTCCCTCCAGCTTGGCTGTGCTGCAGTGTAAATGCATAGAGACCCTCTGCCCAAGCCCCCTGCAGCCCTCCTCAGCCTGGAGCCCCGGGGTAAACCAACAGTACTGAACACATTTCCTATCTGTAATTTACCTGATGGCTTCTGCCCACACTGGGTCTGCTGGTGCCCAGTCTCCTCCCTGCATGTACAACAGCCCCCACCTCTCCTCCTGGGCCCTGGAGACAAGCCCCAGGGCTGTGTGCATTGTTAACCCTTCCCACTGCTTTCCCACTGGGAAGACAGCAACAGCCTCGCTTTGGTGAGGACCAGCCACACTTAGGACCACAGTTTTCATCTCACTTTGTGTCCACTTCACTGCCACATTTGTCATCTTGCTGTATTCCAAGGGCTCTTCAGGCAGGTAACAGCTCTGAAAGACATTGAGAAGGGCAGCTCATAAGCATGCACAGAGATTTAAAAAAAAGGAAAAAGACTGTTAACCTGAGTGTCAGAAATGCTACAAAAATTGGCATGTGCTTCTTGCAGCCTTTGGCACCAAACAGGTGAGAAGAGCAGTAATAAAGCTTGGAAAGTCCTGTGTTGGACACATTTCTACTCAATCTCCTAAGGGCTTAACTCCTAAGCCTGGAAAAGGCACACTGAAGCAGGCACAGCTGGAATATCCCACTTAGACCCTGTGAGAAGTGAAACTGAGGAAGGTGAAGGTAGCTATCTGTACACCATCACTATGAGCTACGTTCAGATTCCAGAGCTAAGGGAAGCAATCACACATACATCCCAGGGGGCACTTTATCCAACTGATCCCAAAGGAGTCTCGTGATTTGTTTTCAGTGTGTTTTCAGTGAATATTGAAAGGGACCAAATGCCCCCATCACCTCCTGAATATCCAGCAGGAGGCATGAGGGGAAAAAAGCTCACAACCCTGAATATTTCATTTCACCTGTGACAGGGGGGCATGTGAGGACACCCGGCCACAAACAGGGATGTCCCCCATGTGCAAACACCCAGCTAACCACTCCTCAGCCTCCAGTGAAGCAGGACAGAGAGGTGGGACAAGCCGAGGAGCCCCCCCGCTTCCGTGTCCCCATGAGGATGGCCATGGAACCCAGGCTGGGCTGTCCCAAGGGGCACCGTCTCTGCACACACCAGCACCTCCTGCACCACAGGAAGTACACACTGTGCTCGGCAGTGGTCACACCTCCTGCCATCACCCGAGGCGCCCCTGGGCAGCAGGACAGGGCTCCTTCCCGAAAGGCTCCGAGGGGTGAAACGCAGCTCAGTGGTCCAGCAGCCGACAGCTCCTGCTGGAACACAGCTGGGGCAGGAAGTGTCTCCAAAGCTCAGTGCATTTAGCGACCCTTAAAAGAGCATCAGGTTACAGTCATTTCATAAAACTATTGTGGTAAAAAACCAACAGAGAGGACACATTTTCTTTCCAATCAAAATCCAAGAGGAAAACAGACACAAATCCCAAGGTGTAATCAAACCAATCCAATGGTTGTACCTCACAGTCAACTCCATAAGTCATCTGAAGCACTCCACGTGCCCAAGGACAGCCCCTCTTCCAGTGTGCTGAGGAGTCTCCCAAAGTGCTGCAATCCCGGCCATGTCCCTGCTGGCTCACTCCCCCACACATTCTCACACATCAGTCAATCACCTGCTTCTTTAGTTTTGACTCTACAATTCCAGTTTGCTACTTTACATTAATGGCACTTACTATTAAAAAAATAATTCAAAATTGACCATTTAGGCACATAAAAAAAAAAATCTGCCTTTCATCTCTGCAGCTGCATAGATGTCTGCAAGGTCCCAAGCCATAGCTGTGCTCTGGAATTCTGGGCCACAGCCCGTTGAGGATGTGGCTGCTTTATTTTTATGATTAATAAAGGTAGTTTTCACCTAGGAAGCAAAGACTTGGCTATTTCCAGCACATAATCTGGATATCAGTATGTCTTGGTTCTTAGGTCTGCAGAGACATGAAGAAGCACCGCAGTTCATCAGCCTCCTGTACATGTGGAAAGCATTTTCCATGTGCTCCCTGCCTCTTCCACTCCAACGGGGCACATGGCACAGGGATAGAAAGTCAAGACCAAAGTGCACAAACAACAGTATGTCCCAGGGTCCCAAGTCAGTGACAGGGATTCATATCCAATTCCTCATGACATTCTGGGAGCCATCTGCCATAAGGAAACAACACTTCTGATTTTTTTTCTCTTTTCCTCAAAAAGATCCAAATCAGAATTAGCTATTATTTGCAATTCCACCACACATGCAGGCCACTGCCTCCTCACCCTGAACAAGCTGTACAACCCAGGCCCCTGGCATTTCAACCATGTAAATGACTCCACTAAACCTTTACTAAGGGACTTGGAGAGGTATAGTGGGGGGAACCCATTGGAAGCCTCTACTGTTTAGAAGGGAACGGAGCTGCTCCAAAGGGATCTAACTCCAGTGCCTGCTGTGGTTGGCTCTGTGTGCTCTGCACCACCAGCTCTGTGAAGGGCACAGCACCAAAGTCATCTGTTTTCAGCCCATCCCCGCCATGAACAGCCCCGTGCAAGGAGCTCTGCCTGGGCCTGCCAGCCACCACGACTGTGCCGTGGTCCCCACGGCTGTCCCCAAAGCCCTGGTGCTGGGCATGGCGCATCAGCTCCGGCGGGTGGAAGGGTTTGGCCCCGAAGGGATCCAGCAGCGCCTCGTCGGGCTGCAGCGGGTTGGCTCGATCCTTGCTGTCGGTCAGGGTCACGCTGATGTTCTCCTTGGAGTCCGAGATGGTCAGGAACTCGTTGCTGCTCTGCGAGTCCCTGCGGCCAGCCTTCCTGTGCCGGCGGGCGCGCTCTGGAGTGCGGTAGCTGGGTTTCAGCCCCTTCTTGGTGTTGGTGGGGGTGCTGTGGTGGCGTTTCCCGTTGTTCTTGGGCACCTCCTGCTTCATGCGCCTCTGCCGGGAAGACAGCTTCTGCAGGTTGCGCTGCTGCTTCACCTTCTGCTGCTGCTGGCTGCCTGTGATCTCCTCAAATGGAACCAGCCCAAACAGGTCCTGTCCGCTCCCAGCAGACTTGGGGACGAGGGATGGCTGAAATGGGGCGCAACCAAAGATATCCACACTCTGCGGAGAGCTGGGGGAGAGCAGAGG